GTCGGTTCAACCAAAATCATCATTGAACCACCAATTTTTTTGTCACACCATAACCGCACCATAACACGTAAGTCGATTTCGATTCGGTTTGGTTCAATTCATTCTCTCGGTTCGAGGCGATTAATAACCATGAAAATAAATTACTTTTCATAGGTCCAGTTGTCAAATTAAAAAAATAATTTATGAAAAAAGTCATACATAATGGTTATCAACTGATAGTCTAGTGAATTATATTAGAGCACTTCAAACAATTTGCGTTGTTGATCACTTACCAGATCAAAATTGTACAAAGGACCAATAGAGGGTACATCTGTAAGAAAGCAACAATTTATGGTACCAAGGGTGATGGTTAGGTTACTGATGACAAAATCAAGAAAGGCAAAGACTATGTATACTTAATTTCAAGCCAATCCAGATGCCTAAAACTAATCAAATAATCAAATTTACCGTAAGAGAATAAGTTTTTTGAAATTGAAATTGTTGATTGAGTTCGCTTCAAGAGCGAGTGAGTTGATAACCATCAAGTGTGACTGCAAAAAGGAAGAAAAAAGGACCCTGTGGAGTTTGCAAAACTAGATATTTTTTATACATATTTTGCATTGGATTACTTTTTAGATGGAAAAAAATAAATTTAACGGGTAATCGGTTCAGTTTAGAGCGACGGCATAAATACTATACTGGCAACCCCCCAAACCGGTTCATTAAAATCAAATACCATATCCGTCTCATTGCACCACCGGTTCGATTTTTTTCGCCCCATTCGGTTGGTTAACTGTGATTTTCGATTTTAACGTTCAAATTGTCATCTCTAATTAGATCACACACTTGAAGAGAATGAAAATAACAAGTTTTGGGGTATGTGAAGCTCACGAGTTAAGACAATAACATATTTGACAATTAAGGGTAGGGAATGGAATAACTTATGAATTCATGATACCATGCTTAATTCTTAACACACAAGTCAACTTTGCATTGGAACGTAGACTTTGATTTTTGTATTATGATCTTGAAGCTGTGCTTAGATTTAATATCATTATTTTACTTTTGAGATAAAATACAAGGTTTGATAGCTAAATATTTTTTACATGCTTATGTGTTTGTTTTAAGTTAGGTTATAATTTCCTTTGAGGACAAATAGATGTTCAAGTTTGGGGTTTGATAAGTGTATTTTATACACTTATTCGGGGCATTAAATAATGATATTTTCTAATTCTTCTTATGAAATACTATCTAATTCATGTTATATTGTGTCAAATAGGTAAAACTCGATGTTTCATAAAGAATTGGAGAAATGAAAGCAAAAATAGTGAAAAATAGCGAAATCCAAAAGTTGAGGACTAGATTACAAACAATCCATAGATGGGACAGCAGATAAAATGTAGATCAAAGATGTCAATGATTTAATTGAATACAATTGAAAGATAAATGAACAAGATTACAAGAGAAAATGACTCAATCAACTCAAATACAAAGTTGGAGGACTAAAATACAATATTTTAAAAGTTGAGTCATATTGTAAAATGATGATTTAAGAATGGTAAGAGTCAAATGGAGTTAAAAGAGAAGTCAATGAGATGGGAATTTGTTGAAAATTATCAAAATACACGCATGAGAAAGTTCGACAAAAGATTGTACTATTCTTAAACATAGGCCAACAGACCCTGCATTATACAAGGTTCCAAAAATCCACTCCAGAGACCAAATTATATGTACTATGTGTACACATGGTTCTATTTTGGAAAAAAAATTTATTTCCTTATTTTGCTTTAGAAATATTTGGTATACAATCTTTTGGCACTTTATTTATAAAATCTCTATATTTTACGTATTTTGGAGGTGAAGAAAAAGGCTAAGCAACAAAATCAGGGCGGATTATACAAGTTTATTGAAAAATATTCATCTATTTTCAAGATTTATGCCAAGAAATTGGATTTATCCACTTTCCTCATTATTTCTTCTTTCCAAGTGATTTTTTCCCCAATATTTCTTGTATAATTTAATCATTAGAATCCTAGGCTAATTTTTTTATTGTATTAGATGAATGATAAATCTTATTGCATATTTGTTTTGATTTAAAACAATTCGTTTAGTTATTTCTTGATTTTCTTGATTGATTTTGCATACCTATTGAATTTTTTAATTGATTGGACACCAATTGAATAATTAGTTATTTGTTGTAGTGTTGGGAAACTCACAATAAGTTTAGAACGCGACAAATTAACATATGTAGATAGGATTAGGAATAATCTTTATCATATATGTAATCAAATAGATAATCTATAATTTAATCCATTTTGATCATTTGAATTCTGACTAGAAATATGATAGGGTCGTGATTATAATAGACCTAGTGTTATCAATTATCACAAAAGCATGAAATTGATTATATTTAGAATTAAGAATTAAAATAAATGGCAATATGGGGATTCAAAATCTGTAGTGTTGGGAAACTCACAATAAGTTTAGAACGCGACAAATTAACATATGTAGATAGGATTAGGAATAATCTTTATCATATATGTAATCAAATAGATAATCTATAATTTAATCCATTTTGATCATTTGAATTCTGACTAGAAATATGATAGGGTCGTGATTATAATAGACCTAGTGTTATCAATTATCACAAAAGCATGAAATTGATTATATTTAGAATTAAGAATTAAAATAAATGGCAATATGGGGATTCAAAATCCAATACAGTCATTCACATATTTGACTAAACGTTTTTTATTGCTTCATTAGTTTAAAATTAGTTTGAATAACAACAAAATCACATCTTTTGTTTCACGAACATCGAATTTCATAGTAACTAATGAACTAAAATTAAACATTATTCCATGTGGGATAATAACTCTCTCATCATAATTATTGCTTGTACAATAAATCCATATGATTGCAGAATTTTGACGAATATAAATATATAGTAGTATAATTTGGTAGTGTATCACCAATAGTGTCTTGCAGTATTATTCAATTTTTATATAGCTATTTGTTAAAAAAATGGATCCAATCGAAAGAAAATAAACACGAACATGTGACTGCCAGCTGCAACCTAGAAATTACATACCTAACTTGGTTTATTTTATTATTATTATTATTATTTTTTTAAGGAGACCTCTTTAGTTGAATAAAATTGTGAACAACCTCTGGAAACGTCTTTTCCATATTATATAACTATTTCATATTTAAATAAGACTTAAACTCGGTCGTCTAATATGACAAGTTAAATTCAACTACCAATTGTTAAATATATAGTGAGAAGAATTGTCGAATTCAGTCCCTAACTTATGGACTTCTGTGCAAACACATTTAAGTTTATGCATTTTATCATTTGAATATAATCTTGTGCTTTGCAATGATTCATTTTACCCATTTATCTCAAGAAATAGGCTGGAAGTTCAGAAATTGAGAGGTTTCGTTATTTGCGAGTCGATTATTGACACGACCGAGTTCACTTCTATAGGCTCGGTTATGAGAAGCCTTCAATCATAAACCTATGAATGCCTATCATTAACATAACTAACACATGATTGTAAAATAAGATAAGCAGAGTTCCACTTATTACCTATATCTGTTCCAAACATCTTGTCGAGTAAGTTTAAATTTACACATACACGAATTTACACATACACTCCAATTGCTTATTTACGAGATGGAGAGAAAAAATAAAAGTAATAGCTTATCTAAATTTGTAAGCTATGGTGCGATATGCTAAATAATACGACAAATACAATGTATGTGAAAAGGTTTTGCATGAAAATCCACATTGACTAAATTATTCATTTTTTTATAGCATTTTTGTTAATACTAGCTTATCGAAAGTGAAACTACGGAACTTATGTTTGCAACACTAATCTTGTAGTTACGCTGATTAAAATATTAAAAATATTTTGTGCATTGGACAAAAACTATAAACGGAATTATTCGAACTACCAAGAATTGGTTAACATCATCATCGGGTTCATGAATTCAGTTTAATCCACAATGATTTTTGTAAAAAAATTTAGAATAAACACAACTGATAGAAAATTCGAATATGAAGAAACATTAAGAAACAAAGAAGCAACGTTATATTATTGAAGAAATATTGGTACTAGGAAAGTATGACTTGAAGAAATAATTAGAAAGCAAAGGAACAAATCTATAGCAAAATTATCCTGCTAAAGAGATAATGTGATATTAGAAAACTGTAGAAAATGTTGAAATATGATAAATTTGACTTGCTTTGTCCTTATTGATAGACTCTGAATTCGACAATGAAAAAATTTGGAATTTCAAAATTGTAATGGAAGGCACTCTACTTAGCTAGCTGATCGAGCCTAGGGGCTCACCAAACTCGATTCATGAGCCTTTGATGAGCTTCACCGCATTAGAGCTGATGAGCACGAGTGCAATCTAGCTTGTCCGGCCCATGAGTCAATTCGTACAAGTTTGTGAGTAGCTCGCACAAGTAATTTGCAGCTCTACTCTCACCCTTAGCTTGACTCATTTGTGGGGAGAGATGAGTTGATCCTATGAAAAACTCGCTCCACTTAACACAACTAAGAAGGGTGGATATTAGTACTTAGGTTTGCATAACATGTGCAAGCATATTTGGGTCAAAACATTATTCATCAAGGGCAAAGTCCTCTGTCCAGGGCCTCATGGACGCTGGACAGACGACTAGCCCCCCACCTGGCGCCCGGACGTCAAGCAAAACTCATTCATCAATGTCGAAGAAACAAAAAATCTAGATCCTTTTGCCTAAAGATACAGAATACTAATATGTTAATAAGCAAGGCCGTGATTATATATAATTCGGAGACTTATTAGGCCAGAAAAATTAATTATGGATTGATGCGCTATATTTTATGAAGTTTATGGACTATGGCAGCAAATTACTATGAAATAAATTGCATTTCATGCTTACCTCATTCATTTACGTCATTGGCGGAGACCGCTGACTCCGAAACCATAAATTAATTCATTAATCTTGCTTTAAATTCACTGCTTTTAATCAGAAACATACAAAGCAAAGCCTATACTCAACAGTCAAGTGCTTCAATCTTTTAATCCGGGTATACATTTTTATTACTTCTCAGCATTTAAATTAAAGCTAATAATGTTGTTCTTATTTAAATCTTGGAAAATATTTCAAAGTGTGGGTTTGAACCGTTTGCATGTTTCTATCAAAGTATAAAGGTTTAAAGATTTTGAGTAAGGAGTTTATTTATAGTTTATATATAGATAAATCAGGAATGATCTATTAAGTATCGGTGCTTAGCTTATGTTAAAAATCAGTGACATGAAACACTATTTAATGATTCACCAATGCTTAACATAAGCTAAGTATCGGTGTTTAGAAGATCATTTCCATAAATAGACAGATAGATAAATAAGGATTTAGAAAGAGAAAAGTCGAGAATAGCCCTATAGAATGCGAATGCTAAATGATGTCAAAATGGAGAGGCCTTTTAGATCCATGTAATAAAAAATCAGATTAAAATCAGATCGACACCATTAATAAGTTGGCATGCTTAATAGAATGTTAAAATGTAAATTAAAAGAGGTATTAAGCTCTCTTTAAATTCCCAATCCATCAACTCTTTCTTTTTAAATTTCCAAACGATTTGTTATATCTTTAGAAAATCGGTCAAAAACCATTATATCATAACACCTACCACGTCACTCTCAATATCTCAATCACAGCTGATCCCCACCATCCATGACTTCAACTCGGTCCCCATATTCTTACTCATTGTGTCTCATCCACACCCAAAATACTTTATTCCCTATTCAACATGAGCATTGGAGTGCCCACGACCATCGCACCCAATTGGCGCTACGATTACGAGCGGTCTAATATGGTGTTCAATTGTATAGGTAACATATACATTGACAAGTGTGGGATCTATTGGCTCTGTGGTTCCGTCAGATTTTGAGTCAACTATCACTTCCGACTTTTAGTAGATGAAGCAACATTTCCTGACATATATTGAATTCTTCGAGATCTCATAACTGAATGTTAAATTTGATATTTTATATATTCAATTGTCGTGACTTATGCTTGATTAGATGTTTCAAAATAAAATAAATGGAAAAAAGAAATAAAAATGATGAATGAACAACGGTAGTTCTCTTAAAGATCGAGTTCAAAATTGAAAGATAATTCATTTTGGAGATTTTACTAAGAATTTTATCAATTAATAAGATTATATTTGTCTTTTACTTTTTATTTTCTGCATGATATATATTGCTGGCTATATCGTCTTGTTAGCTGTATGGAGGGAAGAAGACAACGGGGGGCAAAAGCTATTAGAAGCTCCAATTCGGATCCAGAAGATGATCGGTCCGAGTCTCGTGTTGATCGTAGAAATCCACTTGGTAAACGACCAGCTTTTACTTCTCATGAGCCATACGAATCACATTCCACACACATACCAACGACTGAGGATAAAGACATGAAAAACCAGTCTGAAATTGAAGCTGAAGATCCAAGTGCGAATGCCAATGCCAATGCTAATTTGAATGACAATGACAGTGACGATGATCAACAACTAATAATTTATCCCAGTAAGTTTTTTCTAAAATTTTTTATCCATTCCGTAGTTGAGAAAATTAACTGCTAGTGTATAGTATCTGCTTAAATGCATGATGATACCATTTTGATGAAAATTTATTCCTCTACCCACATCATTGACTTTTCTTTTCATCTAATCGTCTCTTTTCTATCCCAACGAGATCGGGTTAAAAAAAAAATTGATAAATTCGTTTCCAAAGCTGAGTACCTATGGTTTCATTTAAGAAACCAGAACCATTCAGGATCCAAACGGTTCTCGATTCTTGGTTCATGTTGTGGAAATTCCTTGAGAAATCTTGATCCGGGCTCAGTTTCATCAACCAAATGAACACCAACCGAGCTTTACTCGACCCACAACTCCCACTTGGTTGCCATAAGTTTTCACCCCACAAAGAAGACTCTTGGTGATTGATTTGCAAACCACAAAGGAAGAGAAATAAAGTAGCAATTAGAACCTCAAGGAAAGAGAACCAAACCCGGCCAAGAAACTCACATTTTTCTCTCTTTCTCACAAAACCAACACACAAGAAAATGGCTAGGGCTGAGTGTATATAAAATGGGTTAGTTTAGGTTAACCAATGGGCCAACAATCCAAATAATTAATATACCGTCCCAATGCAAAGTCACAACTTATGCCATCCAAAAGTATTGGGCCACAAGAATGGCCCCAAATTGTTTCCGGGTCAAGTTATCACTAAGGTGTCGATATAATTTATCCAACATCGGTTTAACATCATTGCCGAGATTTATTGGGTATCAAAAAAATCCAACAATTCATGTTACATTTTTTCCATCTGATTCTTGTTTTTTTAGGTTTGGTTACGATTTAAATGACCACCACTATATTTATATAAAAATAAGTTGTCAAAATGTGCTGTTATTGAAATTGCACTCATCACAATAATTGTAACGCCTCAAAAACTATTCTTCAGGTGTTACTTAGGTTCTTTCGAGGATTAATCTTGTTGTACATAGGGGGTATATAAGGGTGTCCATAATGGACACCTGGCACCCCCTATTGGAGGGAGCACCGGTGGGCCAGGCGCTCCCTCCAATAGGGGGATGTCGGGTGTCCATTATGGACACCTTTATGTATCCCCTTATGTACGTGTAGCAAAGTCCTTCTTTCAAATCTATATGTGAATTGATGATGACAAACGACATAATACACAAGTTTTTGTAAATCAATGTATCTGTATTTACAAGTCTACAAATGTTTTCTTATCATGCTTCAAGAATATAAATTTCACTTAAAAAAACATTTCTTTATTTTTCCTATCCTTCACTTGGCATACATATCATGCTCAATCAAATTGCCACAATACACTAAAAGCAAATTGTTGATAGTAAACATCAGATCAAATGATTTTATTGATGAAACAAATACAACCGAAGATCAAATGTAAATACAATCAACAAATCTTCTAACCTAACTATGAGTTCCACCTTCTAAATTCACTAATCTAGATACTTCAATTAGAATAAGAGGAGAAATAACAATTTGAGAGTGAGATATTTGAATTGCATGCCTCTTTCTTCAAATTGTGGGGGGGNGGGGGGGGGGGGGGGGGGGGGGGGTATTTTTAGATTTCTCTCCAAACATTGGGATATTCGAGTCCTTTAGAAAGGATGATAGATGGCGAATTCCTCAATAACTGCCTTCTAACTAATTCAGTTATGGAATCACGCTCTACTCACTTTGTCGATGTTCCCTTATTGATAACTTGTGCCAGCCTGGATATGGAGGACAGATCACAACTTTTACGTGAGCTATTACTCTCTTCTCTTCTTCGGTAACAAATATAGTTCTCAATTGGCCCTTCGAGGGCTAACAAATAGTTCCCCAAATCGGATTTCATTATTTATATTGAATCTAGGAATTAGTCTATTGTGCATTTTGATTGGCAAAGTCATTGAAGGGCTCTTGGCTTCGCTTTGTTCATGCATGTTAGGAGGGGACATGGAGATCGTGTTGCCAACTATCACCATTTTATTTGCATCGGTGGGCTCATGGCCCATGTTCCTTTGGACACATATGGTTTATGCATAACTTTTCATGGGATGTACACAATCACTTGTCTACTCTTAACCGAGTTTTTAACGGCTAGTACCTCAGTAGAAGCTTTAAACATGTCCCGACTTTGGTTGATTTTCTTCATTTCACTGCCTCATTTTTTTAAAGTAAAATCTCCTTTCTTTGTTCGACATTTTTCTGCACTATTTTTCCAAACTAATTCTTAGAATTTGTTTGAGAATTCCAATTCTAGTAGCTTCAATTCCAGAGTTGATATTTCTGACACCTCTTCGTCTTTTGTGGAAATTTTATATTTTGATGTGCTCCTATATAAAGCTGTAACTCGTTTTGGAGTATGTGTTAACCATCACTTTTTGGTCAATTAGGAAGCTTTCACCCTAGGGTTAGGGAACATAATGTGTTAGGGGACATTCCTAATGCACCAATTGATCTTAATGCAAGGAATATTATTGAGGCTTCCCGAGTCTTCAGCAATCTCTTCGAACAAGACTTAGTTGACATTAGAATTCGTTTTTGAATTCTAAATTGATGCAAGAAGTTCCTAGTCTAGTGATGCTGATTTGTTAGATAGCATATTGATAGTGCTAAGATATCATGAGTTGGCAGATTGGCGCAAAGATGGCTAGTGATTGTGATCTTTTCTTAATTGGGGCAGTTTGGAACATGTTTTAGTAATTTAGTCATAACTTTGGCTACGATTATCAGAATCGCAATTATGATCTAAATTCGGAAAGCTCTTTTCGATGTGCACGTCGTTGTCACCCAACTATGCTTGGTGGGCATCAATTTTGAGGCCAAAATTCGTTATTTTCCCTCCCAAATTTCCATTTTTAGTTATTTTTTTCCATTTGAGGTAATATTTCAGTTTCCGTTTTCGAGATGATTATTAACTTTATTTAAGCCAGATTTTTGGCAAAATACTTCTTTTATTTAGTATTTTGTTTTATTATGATTATTGAGGTTTTGCTATTTTCGGTAAAATTTTGATAATTTCGAATTTTCTCAGCTATATAACTCGACTTGTGAGTTATTTTTTGTCATTCTGCAACTTAATAAAGTTGAATTGAATTGCAGAAAATTCTCTATGTCTTTGGGCATTTTTCTTCGTATTCCTTCTTGTAAAATATCTGTTGCAGCTAGCCTGCAGGATAATCATTATCTTGCCCGGTGTCATCAATGATATAGAGCTTTAATGTCCAGGGCTATTTCAAACAGGGGGATCGTTCACCTCCAGGCTGTATAGCTATTCATAAACATTCATTGGGTATAGGTCTCAGAGTGGCCTTTCATCTTTTTTAGCGAAATTTTTTCCTCACTAAGTACAGGTTCTTCTCAGCTAGCAATGGATAGGTCAATTATTTACATCCTTTCTATTATGGGGTTTTGTAGGCTTATCGAGGAAGATTTTCGTTGATATGTTCTATTCGTTGTATCGCTTTGTACCATTAGTGAACACAGCGAATCCTCAAAAGTATTTTATACTTTTTTTCCTCGCTTCTCTATAGCACGTCCTGTGTTGGTGAATCCTTCCACCTAAGTGCCTTCTTGAAAGAAGAGCTTTTTCTTTGTTTTAGGTAATTGGGAGTTTCAACCCAATGATCTCATTCCTTCTATTGGCATACTTGTACATATGGTGAGTGTTGCAAATGTTACTTTGTTACTATCATGAGGAATTATCATAAGTGAACCATGTTTCATGGGTTGAAGTCGAACTTTGGAAGAGCACTATAGCCTATTGGCCCTTATTTATCATTTGCCTTCTAAAATTTGTGAATGTTACCTTGTTGCTGGTATGTTTGTTTGCAATTTTGTGCTTTAATTGTTAGGAATTTTCATAGGCAGACCATGTTTCGTGGTTTGGAGTCACATTCTCGAAGAGCTCTGTAGCTTATTGGCTGCTATTTTTTCTTTGCCTTCTGAAGTTCGTGAAGTTGAGAGATTACTCCATCACTTTAATTCTAACTTTTAAAACATTGGTATCCAAACTACTATGGGTAAGCTGGTTTATTCTAATGCCTCTTTCTTTCTGAATTTTTTTTTTTTTTTTTTTTTTTTTTTTTTTTTTTTTTTTTTTTTTTTTTTTTTTTTTTTTTTTTTTTTTTTTTTTTTTTTTTTTTTTTTTTTTTTTTTTTTTTTTTTAATGCGGATGAATTTTGATGCGAACCCTTTTAACCAACAGAAGATATTTGCGCCTTTAGATTCAAGTTGTGGCGAACTTGTAGGGACGAGCTCTATCCTTGCCAAGAGTTTAATCGCTGAGACTTTTCCTCTCTTTTGTGAAGGTTTGAGAGATCACAGTCCCCTACAGCCAATGCTTCCGTTTCTAGGTCATCACACTTTGGAGAACAAAAAAAATAGAGATTAGTGTGTCCAACAGAGTTTAGCTCCAATATTTTTTTCTTCACTTGACTTTCAATCTTTGCTCGATCGTCATTGTCAAGATGAGTTAGACGCAAACCTCATTTCCTTCTTTCGTTACCAAGATGGTTAGGTCATGTTATGCCTATCTTAGTCCATTTTAGGAAAAAATGGCCAAGAATCTTGTCCTACATGAAGGGAAGAAATTATTGATGTTCATTTGTCCTGAGCTGTTGTATTATACTATTATTCCAAGACCAGCAAGTGAAACATCAGCTTAGCATCAACCATCTCAATGGTTTACCTAAAGAGTATGATCTTTGCAAGAAGACTTTGAAGCGCTCTAGGCGAGCATGGATGTTACTGAGGGAGAGAAGTCAAATTATAATGGCATGTGTTAATGCACTGAGGAAAATGAGAAGGCCAGAGTTACTATTCTTATTGATATCGAGAGTTGGCCTCAAAATTAATACAAACTCAGTTTGGCAGCATAACATACTCTGGGAGAAAAGATTTTGAAATTGTTGAACTAAAGGAGGCAATCCAACCATTCAAATTCGATTACCTTCTTGTAATAAAACAATATACCCGGGCACAGAA